AGCAGTAGTAGCAGTAATAACAGCAGTAGTAGTAGTAGTAGTAGCAGCAGCAGGAGTAGTAGTAGTAGTAGTAGTAGTAGCAGCAGTAGCAGTAGTAGCAGTAGTAGCAGTAGTAGCAGTAATAACAGCAGTAGTAGTAGTAGTAGCAGCAGTAGTAGTAGTAGTAGTAGTAGCAGTAGCAGTAGTAGCAGTAGTAGCAGTAGTAGCAGTAATAACAGCAGCAGTAGTAGTAGTAGTAGTAGCAGCAGTAGTAGTAGTAGTAGTAGTAGTAGTAGTAAAGGAGTAGGAGTGGGAGTAGGAGTAGGCAACAGCTGTAGTGGTCGGCGTGGTGGTAGCAGCAGGAGACAAGTGATACGCCTTCTTGGCATGGCTATTCTGACAGTTACCCTTGCATCTGCAACGAAACTGGCTATACAAATCCCCTTGGAGCATCCGTCACCACGACGACTGCAACTTGGAGTATGCCCATATTAAGAGGTTTTGACATTCCTTTAGCCCTGTCTACAGGGTTATGATGGACCAAACCGTCATCCTTGAATCCATCTGCCCAATACTTCCTAAACCCTGAACCCTAAAACCGTAAAATCACCAACACTCTAAACCAAAAGCGAAAAAAACAAGCTCAACACAATAAAGCGTTACACCCTTAAGCTCTGAATCCTCCACCCTCCTAAACCCCAAACCCCTAAACCCTTAACCCTGATGACCCCTTGAAGACCGGCCTCATCAGATTCGGAGCTGGGCAGATCCATGGCGGCGATCTCCGCGCGCGCCATATCCGCAACGCGAGGGCGCCAGGGCTTTTGGGGCTTTGAGGGTTTAGGGTTTAGGGTTCTTGAGGGTTTAGGGTTTGGGGCTTTGAGGGTTTAGGGTTTTGGGTTTTTGGAGGTTCAGGGTTTGGAGCTTTGAGGGTTTTTTGCCTCCTACCTAGCAAGGACTTTGAGGGTTTAGGGTTTAGGGTTTTTGAGGGTTGGGGGTTTGGGGCTTTGAGGGTTTAGGGGGTCAGGGCTTCGGGGCTTTGAGGGTTTAGGGGAGTTAACATTCGAAGCACTTCTGTCGACGGACTCCTGAAGTCTGCAGCATACTCAGCAGAAGCTTTCGGATGCCAAGCGATCCGAATACGCAGCCCTTGGCGATCCCGTCACTGCAATACAACCGTCACTCAAGCAAGCCCTACAAAGCCACGGTTGACGGTCCAGCTCTTCCGTCACGGCATGGTCCATCGCCTTGTCAGAGCGTTCGGATTAAAGGTATGAGGCTTATGGTTCGGGGCTGGAGGATGGCGATGACCTTCGCATGTAATAAGCAATAACAGCAACAAACAGAAACAACTACCATTGTAGCTACGAACTACAAGTACCATCCGACTGTGCAAGAAACATTGTCACTCAACCCAGAAACCCTCAACCCTAACACGCCATCCCAAACTCACAGCCAAAAAAACCCTGGTCAACCGTTGAAAACCAACGTCATGACAAAAAGGTGGGCTAGCCTTTCCCCATGTAACCACACATTACGACTCAACATATACAAACTCGTAGTAGGGTTCCGGGATACATTTTAAAAATCTGTACAGGGAGGATACGACGATGGCATTTCTACGTAGTTGTTCAGACCTCTAAATCACGCCTCTGGACGTGAAGATTAGGGATATGCTAGGGGCTTCGGGTTTAAGGGTTTTGGGGTGTAGAAATAGATTCAAAAATTAATATTAAGAGGGACCCGCGACCCTAAAATGGGACGGCAAGTAGAGTTTGCCAACAGAAACTTTTTGAAACTGACGGTTGGATAGCAAGGCCTGCCAAGCAGTAGCAACCGCGGCAAGCCTCAGTGGTTTGGCTTGTTCGTGAGCACGTTGGTCTTGAGCGCTCGTGTGCGCGAGTACCGTTTAGCGTGGCTCTCCAAAGCTTGTACTCCTGAGCGCTAGTGAGCACCAGTAGGGACTTGCGAGCGCTAGTAAGCACAAATGAGTGGGAGTGAGTGCTGGTGAGGCCATGTCAGTCAATCTTACGGCGGGGCAAAGAGAGTGCAACGGTTGGCTCCAAACCAAATATCCTCAAGAACCTTACTAGCAAACTCCATTTGTAATACCCCGTTAGGGGGGGGTCCCTGTAGATCATGATGCAAAGAAGTTCCAGTATGGAGTGCACAAGAGCCGTATTGCTGCACAGCTTGCAGTGATACCCTAAGATAAGATACTATCAACGTGCACGTTTGCAGTTTCACCACTATTTGTTCACCCGGGCCCCGGGCACAATCTGGCGGGCGAGAGCTTCAAGCCATCTAAAACTACTGAGCGAAAAGATTGCCAATCCTAAACCCGAAATCCTCCAGATGTCCTGACAGCTTCATCTAAAGCTACTACACAAAACATATATAACTGAGCCTGAAAAGAAAGAGCATGCCGCTCACACTATGATCTCGTCCTCTGGGATGACAACTTGAAGGGGCGTGTGGTGCTGAAGGGGCTTTGTATAGATGCATTCTGTAAAGATGCCTGGCTACCTCTGAGCCGGGGTAGCAGTGTGGGTGGAGATCTTTGCACCTTGAATGTAGGGCTGGCCTTCACCAATGGAGCCAAGAAGACGCATGCCAGACTAGTTTTCAGCTCAATGGGTGGGCAGCCGGGGCAGCATGGTAAACAGGGCTTACAGCTCTGTGGCTAGGGCCACGACCCATGATGTCCCGTGATGCTAAAAGCAGAAACCTTGAATGTGAGCTGGACTGCCAGCATGGCAGGATGAATAAGACTAGGGGAACCTTAAGACCCAAATCCCACGAGCTAAAGCCTGGACTGAGTTCTTGGCCTTCTACAAGGGGAAATTTTCACAGGCACGGGGGTTTCTAGCTTCGAAATGTATGGTCGAACAAGTCTCTACACGTTTTTCCCCATCGCATTGCAGAGAACGATGCTCACGGCGAGGTTTAGGGTTTAGGGAGGTATTCTACATGGCAAGCTCCCACCGGTATTTCTGTGGAGACCCTTGAGGATATAGACCCGCTCAATAAGACTCCTTCTAAGAGAACCAGCAGTAGGGTTCAGAAGGGTCCCCTTTACAGGGTCTCCCTTATACAACCGAACACCCTGAAAACCTTGAAGCTTCCAGAACACCCAACATTTAACTCGAGGAAGGGACTGCGCACTGGCCACCGAGCCACTGGGTTTAGGGCTTTGGGCCCCCCCTAGCTAGGACAAGCCCACATGGTTTTTTTTGTGACACTCACACCGCATGGGTGTAGGGCTTACAAGGTTTATAGAGTTTGGGGTTTTGGATTTCTGGTGTAGGGCTTGAGTGTTTCGACTCACACACTCGTGTAAGGCAGGCATGGCTTCACGACATCTGAGCTTAAGGGTCTAGGCTTTTAGGGTCTAGGGTTTTTGCGACCGCCCATCACGCCAAAGCTCACTCAAACAGCCCTCGTCCGTGTCTTAGGTCTGAGGATAGCCTTCGACACAGGGCATACCAAACTGCAACGGCCCTGGCAGCTTCCATCAAGGATGCAGGGCTTTCTCGAGCGCACGGACAGTGACAGAGGTCCTCACACAAAGACAAAATCCCAAACCCCCAAGTTTCACGCAGACTTGAACCCTCTGCCGCGAGCCCATTCACCAGCTAACGGCCCTACTCCTATCCAGAACCCCGTTCACAGTTTTAGGGTCTGACGTTGCGGCTAAAGTCTCACATAACTTGAGTGTTCCGAGCCTCGAGACTCGTGAGGCTGAACCAACTAAGAAGCAAGTCGGACAAACTACTCAGAACCCCATGACCTCTTGCCGTCCGCTCCTATGCATCCGTGAAACAAGCAGGCGTGAGGCCTTAGGTCTCACGCGACTCCTAAAAAACTCTCCTGAGGTTCAGCAATTCTGTGGGATACTTTTGTGGTGCCGGTGACCTAGGTAATCTTCGACACCCTGAAATACTTCTGGTATCTCAAGATTCTGATGTCCTCAAACCCTACATACTTCTATAGACCTTAAACCCGAAACCCCCCAGGTACCTACTATATAGGGCCCAAGTAGGGGCTCTAGCACCCTATATAGTAGGTAGCTGGGAGGTTAAGGTTAGACCCGAAACCCTAAACCCTAAACCCCTAAACCCCTAAACCCTAAACCCTAATCCATCCATCGCAGGATAGGCGTGCAGACACGTCAGCTCACGAGTCGGCCTGGTTCGTCTGAAGCTGGTTAGTCATGCCTGGCATCGAAGAATTTGGAGACCACAACTTGAGTTTTCCAGTATCAGTGCGTATTTATATAAATATATATGCACATGGTCACAAACATATCTGAATGTGAAAAATTTTCTGTATGTATATACATGTATGTTTTCTATACATGTACATATAACTATATATTGACACATACATGCATACATACATACATACATACATACATACATACATACATACATACGTACATACATACATGCATGCATGCTTGCATACATACA